GATAATTTTATTTAACAATTCATAACGTTTATTTTTTCCTTTTCCAAAACTTTTTTGCTTTTTTCATTCAATTTTTTGTCACTAAAAATTAATCAAATTGGTCAATTCAGTTATCGGAAATTAACCAAAATTGATCAATTACTCATAGAGTCAAAAAAAAAAAATGTCCAAAAAGATTATTTGATGTACGTTTACAGTTGATGAAAGCAACCAGTCTAATACGATAAAATCAAACTTTTTAGTTTTGCAATAATGATTTACAGTCCTAGGACAGTTCAACTAAAGTTTTTTTTTTCTAATTCAAGCACTGATTAAATCTCTGAATGAAATAATGCATATCTGATAAATTTTTTAATATAATTTGATTAATAACACTTATGCGGTAATTAGTACGGTAGTTGTTTAAGATGCCACAGTATTGCAAATCATCGTATTACGGTCTTTGGAATTACCGTATTCTTAATCTATTATTGATCATGCTTATCTTTGCTCCACATTTTTTATTAATTCTTTTCGTTTTTTTTTTCCTTTATTAAAGCGTTAAACAACCTGTTTATTAAACTATACAATACTTTTTATGAAGATATTTAATTAATTATCAAAATTTGATTTCATTATTTTCGTAATTTTTTAACTTTCACTGCATATATATTTTCGACTATTTTCATTTCATTTATTCAATTGCAGGTGCTTATGCAGATGAATTAAAAAGTATTGCTTTCCTATTTTAATTTGCTTTAGAATTTCTTTTCGAAGCCATTTCGCAGTAACGCATTGAAGCGTACGAAAAGCGCAACAAAATTGGAAAGAAAACGTACAACAAATCAAAATGATTTGTAAGTTTTTAATTAATCTATTAATTTGCATGGAATTTTTAATTAGTTTCTTAATTTATGCAAAGCATTCGATTATTCAAAAATAAATTTTTAACCATTAAAATAGAGTTGTGGTGGTAGGTGTTGTCAGTAAAGATTCCATATGTAATAAAAAATGTTTCAATATCATTTAATTACTGTTATCAACGACTATGCATAATTACTTACTCTATCAGTGGCCTTTAAAAAATATGTGAATTATTGAAATTATCATCTTGATTATTGCGCTATTCGAATAATTTATAACTAATGAACCGGTTTGTAAATTATTTGCATATAAAATCATCCTCATTTTATAAATTTTATTTATTCGCTTTATTTATTCTAAATTTTTTGATAGCATATCATTACATCATTAATATTAGCAAATCAATTGAAGAAAAATAGAAAGGTTATATTTATTCAGGATTACTTCTAAAAATTTGAAAAATTGTATACTTCGACACACAATTCCATTTATACGCAAGCATCATCAGAATAGAAGAATTCAGCATTAATTTTTTAAAATATTAAATGCAAAAAATTTGATGTCTCAAATATCGAATACTACATTATTTCATATTAATACATGTTTTAAATTAATTCTTTTATTCAGTTTCATGTTTGGTCTAAGAAAATGCAACACGACATTATTTTATTTAGGAAGCATTTTTACCGTTTACATTAATTCCGTTTTTATATCCCTGAAAAATTGACTTAAAATCAGCAAATTCTATATCGGAAAAAAAAAACGCTCTAAATTCATTTCTTCATTGTTTCCAATCTTCCAAGATTTTAATTTGAAAATTCTCAAAAGTTGATTTTTTTTTTGCAATTTCTTTATTCACTGTACATTATTACAACTTCAATTTTAAAATGAATTTTATTATTGAAAATACTTAATAATCGGTTTATTCTATTTAGATTATTTGTTATATTATCATGAAAATGAAAAAAGAAAAATTCCTTCGCTTTATAAAATGAAATGTATAGCGCGCTCTTTAGCTCACAATCAAAATTCCATTTTGATTCTTTCCCATTAAACAGAGCAAAATTCTCAATTTAACAATTTTCAAAATTTCTCCAATATATCAAATTTTGAGCAAAAACTCGAATGAACAAATTATTATTCATTAATATTTTTTCAATGATTTCTCCTTCTCATTTGAAATATATTCGATAATGAACAAATTTTTTTGAAATCAATTTGTTTCCGTAATTATTTACTTACTTACATTTTCTTATTTCAATGCTATCTACTAAAATTTCTATTCATTCACTTTTCCTTAAACACCGATTGTAAGTGTGATTTATGCTGATCTTAATCATGCACAAATATGTTTACATATTCAAATCGTCAAAATATAATTTAACATTTTAGCATATTTAGACATCAAAAATATTTATAATATGATTTTACATAATTTTCTTCTCTTTTTTTCTTAAATTTTCAGGAATTATTTTTAATAAAATAATTATAATCTTAATATTATGCAGGTGAAGTTTAAAAATAAAATTGTTATTTCATTATCCAATTCATATTTTTGCGGTTGTATTAATAAATGAATAAAATTTGTAAAATTTATACCTTTCTGTTTTCCCCTCTCACTTTCTTCCCCTCAAATATATTCTTTCATATGAATAAAAGCATGAGAATATTTTTGTTTACTCAAATGTATGCTTAATTAAAAATTGGAAATTTTAAAACTAGTAAATAAAACTGTACACTAGCCAATTTAATAATTAACCGATATTTTCAAAATTGTAAAAATTTTATTCAAAGCACCAATAGCTGAACAATTTTTAGATAACACTTCCATTTCCATTTTCCATTCCTTTTACAAAATTTCTCATTTAATGATAATTTCATCAGTTGTACAATTCATTTCTTTTCATCTCTCATCTCCTACTATTCTTACCTTTTACTAAAATAAATAGTATTAACTCTAAATGTTTTTCTTTTTCCCGCTTCTCTCTTTTTGCTTTTCTTGCTAATTTTGAATTTTCCTTTTTTTTTATGATTTCCATATAACGTTCAGTTAAATTTTTACAAACTGATGAAAAATTAAATTTAAGGATCATTATTGAGAGATGATAGATTTAATTTAATAAAATTTAAATTCAACAACTATTATTCATTAATAACATCATTTTTATCAACAACTGCTGATACTTTCGGTTAATTTTTGATATGATAGATTATTGCATAAGGAAAATATTACATGCTTATATATTCGAAGTAATTTATGCTTTTTAATGATTGAATGATCCGGTTAACCGATATGCAAAAGCAACAAATCTGGTTTTTATAACTGGTAAGAAAAAGTGGAGTGAAATAAGTTTAATAGAATAGTGTGAAAATTATAAATACAATTTGCAGAAGAAATGAACAAAGTAGTAATTGTCAAGCATTGTATCAGACAATCATTAAAGAGAATTTCAAATTTTAAAAAGTTTTATTACTTATCGTATACTTAATCAATTGTCATTGCATTGAAATATAAAATTTGTTGTGATTCAATTAAATCTTTTTTCTTTTACATATAATGCAGAATTTAAATAGTATGAACAAGAAGAGAGTAATGCTTCAAATTTGTTCTTATCACTATTGATATTTTATTATACACTTCTTTTTTGTTAAATTTTGAATGAAAACAAATGCCCGCAATTTTTTTTCGTTCGTGGTGAAGAAAAAAATTCTTCTTTATACAAACAATATTTGCATTTGTTTTTGGAATTTTTTTCATTTGTTACTTGAAATTTTAATTTATTTCAAAAATTATATATTTTCTTTAGTCTATTCGTAATTTTTTATTTTTCTCAGTCTACTAATATAATCTTAATGACTATATTCGATTTTAATTTTAAATTCCTATAACAATATCGTTTTCGTTTTTTATTAGTTATATTCGATTTTAATTGCAGATTCTTATCACAACATCATTTCCATTATCATTTCTTCCGTTATCATTACAGTTTACATTATTGTAACTCGCATTGCCGTGCTAAATTTGTCGTTCCACTTTCTTCATCCTTCACATTTTCTCTTCTCTCTCCTCGCTCCTAATGCTCTCGTCGATATTTTCCACGATTTTACCTCTGCCCTTACTTATACCTTCCCCCGCCATATACGATCATTCAAATCAATTCTGCTCACACTATAAATAATATTCATCGATCCATGCACAATTTTATCAATGATGTATTACATTGATCAAAAAATTGTTCTGTACGAAATTAATCTAATCTTTATTTTTCCTAAAATTTTTATCACTTCCATGGATCGATTTTCTGAATTGACGACAAGGCAGGATAAACAATCCGGAAGGCCGTGTTAGGAGATGTCATTTAAGGCATCTCATCCGGAAGGCCACGCTAAGAGATGCCATTTGAGATATTCCTAGCGCAGCCTTCCAGAATATTTATCTTGCCTCCAAATGGCATCTCCTGACGTCGCTTTCCGGATTGCTGTTCTATTCTGAAATGATTTCGCTTGATAGTTTTTTTTTTTTTTTTGGAGAGGTTATTATTCCATCTTGAAATAGCATATTCCAATAAATTTGTACCGGATTGCTATTACATTTTTTGAAATAATCTCTTAGCAGATCTTCCGCATTAGAAATTTTATTCTATTTCAAGATGGAATCGTTAGCACAACATCTATTGAGATAATCTCCCACTCACGCTATCATAATTTTAATACAAATTAACAAAATCTTGTTGGGCATCCAGAAAATAGACTTTATTTCTTGATTTTTACAATACCACTTTCTTAACCCATCAAAATAGGTTCCAAGATTTTTTTCCTCTCCGGAAGCTATTTCTGCATTTTCATGCTACTAAAAATATTCTGAATCTAAGAACTCTGCCTAAGCGAAATCTTATTCAAATAGATCTTTTTTTACAAGCAGAAGCTATCTTCGTTTAAATTTAAAAATTAGTTGCTGAATAAATGAGAAATATTACATTGAATTTTTTATTATTTCCTTTCCTCTATAAATGACGCATCTGCAACGTGATTTTCCTTCTTTCAAAATTTATTTGCTTCTTTGTTTGCGATAAAAAAAAAAAAACTGAAATGATAGTTGTTGGTAGTTAGTAAGGAAAATGGAATTTATTTGTGATACAATTTGTGGATATAAAGCGATGAAAACAATTCGTTCATCATCTTTATCCTTTATCAATAAACTTCGTTCCACATTACCATCATCATCGCCACTATCATTATTATCATCGTTAACATCATCATCATCATCATCATATTATGATCATAATAATCATTGTCATCATTCCTCAACATTATCATCAACATTTTACATTCAACGATTTCAATCTATCAACATAACAGATTATAATGATTCAAAGACTAGGAGGTTTTTTTTTGTTTCTTTTTGAATAAATCGAATGCTTTAATATTTAAAAAAAATAAAATTTTTTAGAAAAATTTCTCCAAAAATTTTTCAATCATTTAATTTCTATTCGCATAATTTAAAATGTTTTATTTTAAATTTTAGCATAACACATAATAGATTGCAACAATCCGATGAAAATGTATGCAATGATGACGGATTACCCATTCAGTCCTATCGTCATTCAACATTTCGACCGTATCCGATACCGCAGGAGGATGAAAATTCTTTCCGGCCATGTCGTTCACATGAAAGCCTATTAGCTTACTCATCTGCTACACATATGATCGATTTAGGTTTGTAAATTTTTTTTTTTTAATTTGTGATATTAAACACCGAAAATATCTCGAATACTTGTTAGCATACATAGGATGAATATTCTCAATTTTTAACTTTTAATTTATTTGACTTTCCTTTTTTTTGACTCATAATATCCGAAAATATTTCCTTAATATTATCAATTTTTCATAAATTATTGCGATCTCCTTTTTCCAATTTATATTTGCTTTTTCTTTTATAATATTAAATTTGGATAAAATCGGAAATGTTCTAAACACTTTCGTTTTTTCCTTGAAGATTTTAAGATTTGAATCAAATGAATTTCAATACATAAATAAGGCAGCCATAAATTTTCCTTATACTTTGAAAAGAAAGGAGGAAAAAATAAGAGCCTGAATTAACTCTATTTTTGATTATCATAGCAATAAAAATTCAGATGAAGCACAAAAACAAATTCATCCATCAGTTGTTGATGCATCGAATTGTTTCAAAATGGAAAATACCTATTATGGTTGTCGTAATTCTCGTGAACGGAATAGATGGGTCGAAAGGTTAATTTATTTTGTTTTAAATGCTTCTTAATTATAAAATTTTTTGGGTTCATTAGCTGTTTTGTGGCTTAATTAAATTTTAATATTTTATAATTATGCTCGAAAATTTCTTCTTCAATTCTAAAACTTTTAATAATACATGAAATTAAGTGATTTATTTTTTACATAGGTATTTAATAAAAATAGAAATACTTAAGTATAACATAACGATTGGTATATTTAGACCCGTATGCAAAATCGACAATCATAAATAATTCCTTTTATTATTTTATATGAACTACCTTCTTTAAATGAAATTTTTTTTTGCTTAAAAAACTCATAAATTTTAATTTATTACTGATTCTCAGTTTGTTCGAATTAGAATTATAGCTGATATTGAAATGATGGCAAAATTTGAACTGATAATAATATGATGCAATAAAGCAACTGATAGTGTGTTGCTTGCGAAATAAAATCTCCATTATTCAATATTTCAGAAAAGATTAATTCTTTTAAGCGATATTAAATTATTCAGTAATTCATTAAAGAAGTTTTGACTTTTAAATATACACATCAATTCCTCATATACAAATCTATTTTCATATTTTAACGAATAATTAATTTATTGACTTATGAATATTTATTGTATTTTACCGAAAATTTTCAATCAATAAATGGAAATGAAAATTAATTTAATATTTGAAAATTACTACTTGTTATGCTTGAGAGTGGAGGAAATATACGCCAAGTTATCATATATATTTTCAAAAATGATTGAAAATATTAATATATAAAAT